TAAATAAATAAATAAATAAATAAAATTGTTACCTGATGAGACCTAGCCATTTGTCTGCAGTGCCCCTACTGAAATGTGCAAACGAAAAGGATTTAAGAGCCAGCTTCAAAACTTTCCTCTTACTTTTTATATTTTATCAGTTTAAGAGAGTGCTGTTAAAAACTTTCCCACTTTTTGGTTCGCCCTATAAAAGTATCACCTCAGAATGGATTTCGGCTGTTGCTTTATGCCAACACGATGATCCCACCTTTTGTTGGTAAAACCGAGTTTCAATCCCAAATTCTGATCTAGCGAAAAGCAGGCAATGCTGCAGTGCATAGAATCAGGCGCAAGATGGCAGTGTCGTGTTGGGTTATTTCCAGGTGCTCCTACCAGGCACCTTCCCACCCCCTAAAGGTCACATCAGGGTCACCTGCTCAGCAGGTGAGGAGGATTAGCCTCTAATGCCCTGGAAAGGGAAGAGTTAACTCCCCTCCTTTCTCCGATCCGTTTTACCATTTTGCGCTCCACGCGGCCCAGCCCAGATCCTCGCAAACCAGGCTGGGATTATAGGATTAGCCCAAATCATCCCGCGAGCGTGACTTCCTGCCGAGCAGGAGGAGGGAGTCCGAGAGACCCTGGGGAAGTTCTCGCCTGGCACTTCGGGGGTTAACTCCTGCCGCCTGATTAGTTGCCCAGAGCAAGGGCTGCTGTGCTGGGGTGATGCTCCCATCACCTCCCCCGGAAATCTTTTGATCTTCCCTGCCCTTCTCCGCCCTGTGGAGAGGCAAAGCCTAGGAGGGGGGAGGCAGAGGGACTCCCCGCGGAGGGATTTGGAGGCCATGAATAGGCGCCAACCACACCCACCTCCGTGCCCCTTCTTTGCTGTCCCCAGGCTCCCCCCCTGAGTTTCCATCCTCGGCGGACCCCGTCCCAGCGGCTTCCCATCCGATACCGGGCTCAGGGCCCCTCGCTCCCCTCCGATCTCCTCTGCCTCCTCGCCCCGTTGCATCGGGAACCCGAGCCCTCCCCAGCCCCCCTTTTTTCCCCTCTCGCACGCCCAGCTCCTGCTGCTCCATTGATCCGCACGCCCCCCCCCCCCCCACTCGGCCATCCAGGCGAGCAGCATCGCCAGCGCCAGCACCTCGCCCGCCGGGCCGCTGTCTCTTTAAGTTCCTCCCGC